GCTCCCACGGTCTTACCAGTGCCTCAGGCCCGCCAGACCCCCCCCTCCATTTTGACCATACTCCTGTTAATGTCAGACCCCCCCAATTCTGCTAGGGATCCCCACTTCTGTCTGAGTCCTCAATCCTATTCGTGGGACTGAAGACCCTTGGGAAGGCTCCTAAACCAGACCAGGCCCCTTGATATCCGTGAAGATTGTCTGGTCCTGCTGAGGCTTAAGGACCCCCGCCCTTTCCTGGTGTGACACCTGTGTCCCCAGTCCTGTCATCGTGTCTGTCTGTCTTTTCCGCTCTCTCCAGGGTGCCAGGCTTCAGAGCTGCTTGCTGCACCCCCATTGCTGACCCTAAGTGACTGAGACCTGTTGCTCAGGTTTGCTTCCTTTGGAACTAGAGCAGGTGGAACGAGTTCATTATCCCAGGACTGGAAGCCCTCAATGCCTGTCCTGTCCAGGGCCCTCATTCTGTAGGTGGAAAATGAGCCTTGAGCTGGCCTTGCCTGGGACCTGATGGCAGAACCGGGAGGAGAAGCCAGATCTCTTCACTCCCAGGCCCTGACATTCTGCTCATGATGTCGTTTTTGTAGAGAAATTGAGTTTGCAAAGTCATCATTTTCCCCTGGGATTCTTGTCCCTGCCCTGCTGAGGACCCGGGCAAGTCCTCTCCCCAGCCTTTCAACACTGCCTTTATGTTTCCCTAGTGAACTTTGGTTTTAAGCACAGACTTTGGAGCCAGCTAGGCGTGGATTCAGAGCCACATTCCCTCACTCAGTCACTCAGTGACTAAGTTGGCCACATCTCCCAGATCCTTCACCTTGGATGTCAGCAGAACCTACTTCCACAGGGTTGTTTTAAGGATGAGATAAGATTATCAATCGGGCAGGGGTTGTGGCTCAGCCGTAGAGTGCTCTCCTCGCATGTGTGAGACCCTGGGTTCGATCTTCAGCACCATATAAAAAATAAATAAATAAAATAAAGGTGTTGTATACAACTAAAAAATAAAATTATCAATCACAGTGCCTGGCGTAGCGTATGCATGCTTAAATTTTAGTGTTTGATCAGGAGATTTTAAAGTGCTGCTCAAGTGCTTTACATTTCAGTGTTCGTTCATTTTAGCATTTCCAGGCACTTTTTAAAAAATATTTTTATTAGGTATTGATGAAATTTTTATTTTATTTATTTATTTGTATGTGGTGCTGAGAATTGAACCAAGTGCCTCACACATGCTAGGCGAGCGCTTTACCACTGAGCCACAACCCCAGCCCTCCAGGCACTTTTGTGAACACATTTTGTAAAAATCAGCCCGATGATACATTAAAAAACTTCAAGAAAATGTCATGAATGAGCCTGAGATTATAATGCTTAATAATTATAGAAGTTGATACTTAAGATCTTGTTATGTACCCTATGCATGAGAGCTGATGCAATCCTCAAAACAACCCTATGAGGTGTGTCCACGATGATCACTGTTGAACAGATGAGGAGGCTCAGAGTTACAGGGTGAAATGATGCCCTAGGGAATAGCAAAGCCAGGCTTGAACTTGAGGAACGTGATTCCATTTTCTTAACTAAGTTCTGTGCATTCTTCTGATTCTGTCTTGGAAGATCAAAGGCCTATTTGAAATTCATTTGTCAGCTATAATGCTAGGAAAATATAAGACAGAGTCACTATTATCACTAGTGACTCTTCACTTAGTTATGTTTACTGAGCAGAAATCAAAATTATATTTGGCTAGGTGTGGTGGCTCATGTCTGTAATCTTAGCTTCTTGGGAGGCTGAGGTGGGAGGATTACAAATTTGAGGCCAGCCTGGGCAATTTAGCAAGATTCTGTCTCAAGATAAAATTTTAATAATAGCCTGGGGATGTAATTCAGTGGTAGAGTGCTTGCCTAGCATGTGTGAGACACCCAGTATCAATAAAATAATCAAATAAAACCCCCTATATTCACATAATTCATGTATTGGGATAAGAATTAGCTGGGCATGGTACTGCATACCTTTCATCCCAGCTACCTGAGAGGCTGAGGCATTTATTCTTAAAAAGGCCTAGGGATGGGCTGGGGATGTGGCACAGCGGTAGAGCACTCTCCTCGCATGTGTGAGACCCTGGGTTCGATCCTCAGCACCATATAAAAATAAATAAGAAAAATAAAGATATTGTGTCTATGTATAACTAAAAAAATTTTTTTTAAAAAAGGCTAGGGGTATAACTCAGAGGTAGAGTACTTGCTTAGCATGCGTGAGACCCTGGGTTTGATTCCCAATACTGTAGAAGAAAAAAAGAAAAAATAAGAATATATGTGCTACACGTATATAGATATATATTACACATAGAAATCCACATGTGTATGTGTTTGCCTTGGTGGAAATACAGAGCTTTGCATAAAAATAGTTTTTAAATTACTGGAGAAATTTCTTCATTTGTAGTAAAAGAATAAATTCTGTTCAAGGGTGAAATTAAGAAATCCTTAATTTTATAAATGTTCAGAAGATCTTTAATTATATATATATGCTTAATATTTTAAAATCCATTCCAAAATATTTGCTACAGGAGTCAGTCATTGAGTAGGTGTTATTGAGAACCTCCAATGTGCCAGGCAGGGCCTAGACACTTCTGACCCCTGCCCTCACTTGAGGGAGACATACAATAAATGTACTAAGTGGATTTTATGTTAGAGGGTGATAAATACAATGGTTAAAAACCAAACAAACAAACAAAAAAACATAGAATCCTGGTAGAGAAGGCCAGGAGTGCAGATTCCAGTAATGGGTTCGGGTGGGTCTCTTTGAGAGGTGGAGGGTGGTGAAGAAGTGAAGGAGTGGGCCACGCAGTCTTCTGGGGGACAAGGCTTCTGGGGGAACAGCAGTGCAGAGGCCCTGAGGTCAGGGTGTGGGCTGTGTGGCAGCCAGTGTATCAGTGGAGGGAGAGAAATTGTAGGAGGAAAACTTCTGCTTTTCTTGTGAGACACTTTTGAAAGGTCATATTTTTGTCTTAGATTTTAAATCTTGTTGTCAAAACATCCTGATTCATTTTATTTTTTGGTGCTGGGGATTTGACCCAGGGCTGCTTTATCACTGAGCTGCATCTCTAGCCCTTTTCATTTTTTTTTTTTTTTTTGAGTCAGGGACTCACTCAATTGCTCTGGGCCTTCCTTGCTAAGTTGCGGAGGCTGACTTTGAACTTGGGATCCTCCTGCCTCAGCCTCCTGGGTTGCTGAGATTATAGCTGGGCAACATCCTGGTTTTCAAAACATAATTCTGTTACTATATATTACATTAACCTTAAACTTAGGTATTTGGTAGGATATTTTGACAAAATGTTCTTCTATTTACCTATGGCAGTGTATCAATATGTCTTGTCTGTAATGAGGGAAGACAATAAACTTATTTTCTTTTTTAGATACAAAGTTATGAAGAACTGGGGAGTTATAGGCGGAATTGCTGCTGCTCTTGCAGCAGGAATATATGTCATTTGGGGTCCCATTACAGAAAGAAAGAAACGTAGAAAAGGTAAGAATGGGACCATTGCCTTGTGGTGTTTTTATCTGAGAGTGGTACAGAAAGCTTGGGGAGTGGGTAGTTTTTTCTTCTTTCAAAATCTTCAAAATGAGGCCTTTGGTTGTGAAACAGTGCTTTTACATTGACTCGTTTATTACTGTTTAATGAAAAGATTTCTACCCTGCCTTTGCAGACTTTTGTTTAAGGCAGGCTTTGTAATGACGAATTTCATGCAGCTTAATCAGCTCAGTGTTCTCATTAATATAGCAATTGTATTTTTGGTAGTAAAATTGATTAATTGTGTCATTCAGTTGTGGTTTCTTTGACTAGCTACTGGTAACCAATAAAAGTTTCAAGTTTGTTTCTTCATTAATAGAAAATCTATTTCTTTAAGTGCTCCCTTGTGTAAATATTGTTTTACTTAACATTGGTGAAAGAGAGAGAGTTGTAGCAAGATTTGATCATTGCTAAATCTGGGAATGGTAATAATTTGGGTTCATTATACAGTCTCATGCATGTTTAGAACTTTCATGTTTAAAAGTTTTACAAGATTTTCAGCAGAAGAGGGGATTATATCAGATTTTGTTGATCTCTTTGCAGAAAGATTGATCAGAATTGGTAGAGTGGTGTCTTTCCCAGTGGTTGTTATCAGAACAAAATCATTGTCCCCTGGGAGCAACAAGGGAGCAATTGTTTTCTGTTGTGAGAAGCGTTGCTTTTTTATTGAAGTAGAGGGAACATGTGAGAGAATGACGCAGGGGAAGAGGAGGATGTGGTCACCAAGTGTTCCCATACACTTGACAATAATCCAAGCTGTGCCAGACACTGTGGTGGAGTCAAAGCTAACATGAGACAGGGATGAGTCCTCCTGTTACTCACGTCTGTAGGGGCAGAACTGGGACCAGGCCTGGGTACAGACACAAAGCCTGGCTCCCAGAGCTCATCAGATAAGGACCTGCTCAGATCAGGGTTCCAAACTTAAGGTCACCGTGTAGAAACTCTGGGTCCCAAATGGGAGGAAAAGAAAGTTGGTCCCGTGTGATGTGCTGTTCTCGTGTTCCTCCAATGTTTTTAGGGCTCGTGCCTGGCCTCGTCAACTTAGGGAACACCTGCTTCATGAACTCCCTGCTGCAGGGCCTGTCCGCCTGCCCGGCCTTCATCAGGTGGCTGGAGGAGTTTACCACCCAGTACACCAGGGACCAGAAGGAGCCGCCCCGGCACCAGTACTTGTCCTTGACCCTGCTGCACCTCCTGAAAGGTATCTAGCGGCACTCCCAGGGGGTCGCGCACATTTTCAAGAAAAGGCCTAGATGGCAGGCAAACAAAGGGTTATTAGCTTTTTTGTAGAAAAAGATCACGTAGATGGTCATGCAAAGATAGATAAAACAGGTGTATTTTTTAAAAATCAAAGATTAAAGCATTTATTTAAAAAATAATATTAGCTTTTTTTAAAAAAGGAAAAAATCCACTACCAAAGAAACATTTTGATTGTAAGAAGCGCTCTAGTTTCAAAACCATTAAAGTTGAAAGGAAAAAAAAAGTGTGCCTTAGCCTAGGAAATAAGGGAAATCACAAAAATAAGTCATGTGGAATCCTAATAAATACTCCAGAATTCATTAAAGAAATGTAAACAAAATAATAGTGCCACTTAAATTTTTTAATATATTCTTTTGCCTGTCAGTAAAGATTAAAAATTCACAGTCCTGGCCACTGTCGGATAGCACCTCCACATGCTGCTGCTGATGGGTGGAGCTCTATGTATTCCTTCTGGAAGGTGGTTTGGAACTGCCCAGTAAGAGCTTGTGGAGTGTTCAGTACCATTTGGCCTCATACTCCCACATCTGGGAATCTGTCCTGAGAAAGTACTTAGGAATATGTACTATGGGGCTGGGGGGGATCAGGGGTAGAGTGCTTGCCTAGCAGAGCGTGGCTCTGAGTGTGATCCCCAGCACACACACACAAGAAGAAAACAAGACATGTGCACTGTGATTTATACTAGCCAGGAAAATGGGGTTCTTTTTTTT